CCTTAATCATACTACAGCAGTCTCCATTTCTCCGCTCAGGGGACGTCGCTGTAATCCACTACTTTTGTAAACGTTATGATGGTACCGCTGCTGAGACTCCTCGCATGTTCATAACTTGATTATACACAACAATCTATCAAACACATAGAATAACATGGCAATGCAGACTAGAATTAAACCCAACATCTATCTGGGGGTGTTTTTTTGGCTAAGAAGTGCTGTACACTGCCATGCTAGTTGGAATTTTATTTTATTTTATTTGTTTGGCTCATCACACCACCTTTCCTCTTGGCCACTCTCTCTTTCCACTTCTAAGAATAATGTGCTAAGTACTGAGAGTGTAAAAGATTTTATATGTTTAATATGTTTCTAAGAAAAAAAGAACAATGAGGGGATATGAGCTTTCTGTTTCCTTTTGGTTTATATATACGGTGGGTGGGTGTAGTCAGTTTAATTAATTCTTTCATTTTTACCACAGGCTTGTGTGTTTTTAAATGGTTGATTAGTACCATGAAACTGTGATAATGTTTTAAACTAGGTTATCATATTGTGGAAATTGCAAATGATTCATTATTGTGATAATTATTGTGTACAGTCGATGGTCTGGTCAGTAAAATGATTACCCAGGACCTCAATTTTGTGTGCTCTGGCACTAAACGATATTGTTATTGTAAAAGAACTTGAAGAACTTGAAGAAAATTGTAAAATTTCTCAGAACCTGAGTGTTTTTTGAAAAATTCTCAAAGGTCCATAAATGTATCACATACTAAATATACAGTTTACCTGCAAATACAGTACTTAACAGACGCTTCTTGGGCTTGTTTTTGGACAGCCAGAAGCAGGAGATGTGCCAGAACAAAGAAATGAGGAAGAACATCATCAGCATGAAGAACAGATTAAATAACTCCACCATGCCTGTGGCAGGAGGAGGACACACTGGGGTTGAAGATCGCTTCTGAGATATGACACTTGAATCATGAATGAAAATTGGTGCAATTATTCATATCAATCAGTTATTTTCTATGGAATTGTGTTTTTCCAATGAAACATCTGATGATTTTTACCTTCCATGTTATATGTGGATGATGGTGTGATTGTGGTATCCAGTATATCATCAATAAAATGATTATCCTGCAATCTGGCATCAGTCAGTGTTGTTATTTCAGAAGAGGTGGATTATCAGAACTGTAGTTGTGATATTAAAAGGTTCTGAATTGTCAGTGAATTTATCATCTACTCGACAACACAGGCTTTCAGTCATGTGGGTTTTACCAGCTGAACCAGTTCAACAATGAAGTCACTTCACTTCCACCCATTGTCTTCTTACATTTTCCAGCACTTGGAATTTATCTTGATGATCATGATAAAAGTACAAATATACAAAGAACATGTATAAAGGGATGAATATATAATATATTAATACAGTATATTCAATATTCTTACAGTATAGTGTACATTTCTGAAAATTCTTTATAAAAACAGAGTACGAATGTCTATAGAAAGGAACCACCACAGAACCATATACAAGGAATAAAACATTTTGGGACATGGTGTTATAGGAAAGTGATCAACGACGTGATGGTGTGAAATGGCCTGACGCAAAATGGAATTACTGTTATTGTTATTTTGCCATAACAGTACATCTTGAAGTGTTTTATTCCTCTTATATTGGGGCAGTCGTGGTTAATGGATAGAGAGTCGGACTTGCAACCCGAAGGTGAACCTGAAGGTTGTGGGTTCGAGTCTCAGGTCCGGCAGGGATTGTAGGTGGGGGGAGTGAATGACCAGCGCTCTCTCCCACCCTCAATACCACGACTGAGGTGAGACCCTTGAGCAAGGCACCGAACCCCCAACTGCTCCCCGGGCGCTGCAGCAAAAAAGGCTGCCCACTGCTCCGGGGGTGTGTTCACGGTGTGTGTGCGTGTTCACTACTGTGTGTGTGCACTTGGATGGTTTAAATGCAGAGCACAAATTCCGAGTATGGGTCACCATACTTGGCCACAAGTCACTTCACTTCACTTCACTTACAGCAACTTGCCAACAATTACAGTTTTTAATTTCTTAAAGAACAACACATGGTGCTAGTATAGAATAAACAGCTAGTATAAACAGTCATTCCCTTACCAGCCTCTAGATAATACTAATACTAATAAATACTAATAATTTGTTAAATACTATGTCAAATGAAACTTTTTTTCCCACCCTATTATTATTAGGATTAGATTACGTGGAACGTCTGCCATACAAGACCCTGTGTATGTTTTTACTATAGAAATGACAAGTAGTTAGAATGAGCACATTAATACAACCCTATGATTTGAAATACAGCTGACATGATTGTCAGAGCTGCTGTTAAAGAAAATTAACCAACACCTTCTAACCAATCAGATTTGAGAATTCAACAGCACTGTGGTATAATTGGATATAACACTTGCTGGCCATTTTATAGACACAGCTTCATGTGGAAATGCCTTTTATATGTACAGTTAAAAATTTGAGGTCAATTTGATTTCATCCACAATGTGTGTTAATTGATGTTTACCCTTAGTGTCAGCACTGCTGCTGGCTGGAAATTTTTGATTGGTGGATTGTTTCTCAACCAGTGGTTACAGCAGCTGCCGGAAACACTGCTGCATCTGATACACCTGTGCACTAACATACCTGTGTCACTGCTAGTGCTGTTCACGAACCAATTGGCTCTCTGATGTGAACACTGAGCGCCAAATCACTTACATGCTACTTTCTTTCTTTATTTCTTTTTTTTTGTAGGTGTAGGGAATGTCATTACCCATTCATTCCCTCATTCATTCATTTTTGACATGGTTGCACAGGAGGCAGCATTGTCACCTCACAGCTCCAGAGTTCAGTCCTGAGCTCAGGTGTCTGACTGTGTAGGGTTTCTGTACATGTACTCCCCATGTCTCTGTGGGTTCGCTCTGCTTCTCTGGTTTCCTCCCACCTCCCAAAAACAGGCATGGAGGTAGATTGGCCATAGTAAATTGCTCCTAGGTGTGAATATGTGTGTGAGTGTGTGTATGGTATGTATTCCCACCTGGTGCCCAGTGTTCCTGGGACAGACTCCAGATTTTAAACAAATGAAATATAGATATCTGCACAGCTTTCAGGTTTCTACATTTTGAAATAGTCTGCAGATAATCCTTTACATTCGTTTTATAAAATTCAGACATAGGATCCTTCCTAGGCCATTTCATTTTGTTTTTTATTTATTTATTTTTTTTTATAATAAAGTAATAATGTGCCAGTATAATAATCAAGTTGTTTTCTGATCAGGCTGAAGTGTACGATATCTTATTCCCTCAAAGCAAATATCAATATTGGTCTTTTTGCCATTATATACATTTTTTATTTATATACAAGTTTGCAGCTCAGTTCAGAAAAGTGTTACCATGTGACAAAAAGGTGGAATAATTTCAGTACTGCCATCTCCACGTGAATCCTCCCTGTGAAAGCCAAAGCGTGGGCTTTGGCTCCGCCTCCGGAAATGCGTCACAAGGTCAACAGACGCTCACACAGGCAACGCGACCAAGATGGCGGCCTCCTTGTGTCACTGTTACCAGGTGAGATTTTTTCCATTAAAAATTTTGTTGAAGCGTCCTCAGAGGTGTGTATGATTCCTGAAAGTATGTGCTCTTCCTGAGAAATATTAATTTATCATTTGTAAGGATGTAGCAGTGAAAATAAACAAGCAGAGGTTATAGCTAGCTAGCATTAGCGTGTCATGCCGGTGAGCCCATTTTTATTTTAGGCCTTTTTCCGATATGATTTGTGGGGGTTTTTCTGTTTGCTTTGAGGCATTTCATGGTTTAATCTTTGGACATTTTTGGGGCATGGAATGAATTTCACAGAAGAGTATATTCATTGCTGTCGAGTACACTCACTGGCTACGTGCTAGTCTACTCGTTGCTCTGTGTACTGCAGGCTGCCAGTGATTCTGGTGTTAATCTGTTTTTGGTGCTGTATTTTTGTATTCCTGTGTGCAGTTAGGGGTTGTGCGCCCTTCTGTCATTAATAGAGCATTTATAATGGATTTTAATAGGAGAAAAAAAAATACAGTGGATATCTAATGTCGTATTTAGTGTAATAATAGTATAATATGGAATGTGTAATAAATAATATGGTGATACTTGAAGGAATGAAAGGTGCAGAACTGAGAAACACTGATTACAACTTACTGCTATTTGCTTACATACAGCATGCATGCTGTTACTGTTAAGATATGCATTGTGCTTTGGGTCTGTTGAGTGTTTTTGAAGTTTCTCTCTGTCTCTCTCTCTGTTTTCAGCACTATGCCAGGAGGGGTTTAGTATTACTCACTACACGCACGTGTTTGTCCACATACAGCAGCTCTCATGTGCACAGGATATGTGGGTCTGTCACAAGTGCCTCACAGGTTTGAACTATCCCGAGTTTACACTTCTAAGAGTCAGTTAGATGTTTTCGTAAGGTTGCAGTGTAATCTTTGTGCTTTTGCAGGTACGGTATTTATCAGCAGACAGAGGAGGGCGAAAAGGCTTCTTAGGTGAGTTTGTGGACACCTTGAAGCAGGAGCTGAACAAAAACAAGGAGATGAAGGAGAACATCAAGAAATTTCGTGAGGAGGCCAAAAAGCTGGAGGAATCGGAGGCACTTCAACAAGCTAGGCGGAAATATGTAAGTTCTTTCTTATAACGTGCCTCATGGTTATTAATTACGGAAGTCATTATGATTGATTTATACGGGATAAATCACAGAGATAGGAGTGTGTTCATGATGTGACTCTCGCACTGAAAATTCCGTGCGTACTACATGTTGTAGTGCTTCTTTCGGCTGTTCCCGTTAGGAGGCACCACAGCAGATCATTGGTCTGCATATTTTAATTTGGCACAATTTTTTTTTTAACACCGGATGGCCTTCCTGATGCAACCATCCCCAATTTTATTCGGGCTTGGGACCGGCACTGGGAGTGCACTGTCTTGTGCAGCCCCAGTGGCTGGGGTTGGTTCCCTGGCAGGGATATGAACCCGGGCTGCAGCGCTGAGAGCGCTGAGGCCTAACCACTAGTCTTCAAGGGACCCCCCATGCATACTATGCATACTATATACACTTCTCATATATATATATATATATATATATATGTATGTATGTATGTATGTATGTATATGTATATATATATATGTATGTATGTATGTATGTGTATATATATGTAAGAAAATACAGATTACTGCTTTCTATTAGTGCCACAACTAATCAACTGACTACAAATGTCGTTGCTCTTCACCAGAGTGTGCTGTTGACTTTATATATTATCTTCTTTAACCTACCTTGTTAAATTGATGTTTTGTCCTGTTCTGACTATTCCAAATTTTTTGAACTGTTCATATATAATTCTGGCATAATTCTACCTTCAGATATCTTGCTGCTAGTTAAATACTTAACCCTTCAGCATACTTGACGCGGAGGAGATGTCTGTGAGGGTTAAGGGAAGATTAAATCACCATTGCGAGCTTACTAGCACGCATACTTTCTGCAGCTTTATATTGATTCGTGTTCGATTTACTCCAGTACTACAGGTGGCGCTATTAAAGTTTCATGAATTTCAGTGACTAAGGTGAGTAAAGTGACAGGATGAACCTGTTTGTAAGGATCAGTCACAGGCTGGGTTGTGTAGCGTGTTTGTCCCTGGAGCTCGCCCTGCTGGCGTAAGCATGGCATGGGGAGAGAAGCCTCTGCACAACATCTGTTTGCTGTGCATGTCATATTGTTTATGCAGTATGCCTGCCAAACATCAACTCTGCGTAATGTACGCTGAGGCCTTTAGTGTACACTGAGAAAAAAACTTTTATTAATTGTTTATATGACCAAAATAGTGTCTTCATACTAGTAACTTTTGTTTTTTTTTTTCCATATTAAATCATCTCTCTGTAGAAAACCATTGAGTCTGAAACAGTGAGGACTTCAGAGGTGCTGAAGAAGAAGCTGGGGACGCTGTCTGAGACAGTCAAAGAGGTAAGTGTACTTACACAGAGCATTTAGTAAGGATACATGAGAATGTAATTAATGATAAAGTAATAAATACTGTCAAAAAAAGTTAGTAAACTGTATCTTTGTTGTCACTGGGGTGGCACCCTTTCGTATTTTTCTCTAGAAAGGTGCATGTAGCATATCTTTAAAGCTTTACTCTAAAAGGTCATTACAGTCCAATTGAAAACCTAAAATGTTTTTCAAAGGTACACTCTATCCACATTTCCAGGCAAAATTCACATTTAAAGGTACAAAAGAGTAGTTTATGACAAAGTTAGTGTATAATATGCAAGTGTATTATCTATTGTCATAAGATGTGCTGTGTTTACAGTGTACTGATGGTTGGTTGTATTATAAATAAACATCCTGTGTGTGTTTGTGTATCCGTGTGCATGCCTGTAGGGTTTAGAAGAGGTCAGCCGCTCGGATATTGGGAAAAAAATCATGGAGGGAATGGAGGAAGCAGCAAAAACAGCCAAGCAGTCAGCAGATACCGTCTCTAAGAGTGGAGAGAAACTGGGAAAGACTGGAGCCTTTCGAGCAATCTCACAGGTCAGAATGAAGAGATCTAAGCTTTATGTTTCGAGCTTATTTTTGCTGTGAGCATCATGGAAGCATTCCACTTTGCTGCCCTTTTAGTCAGATGTGTTATAAACCCAGATGCTTATGTGTGTGATGCTCCTCAGGGTATGGAGAGCGTAAAAAAGGAGATCGGGGATATTGGTCATAGCGGACCTTACAGAGCACCCACTAGGTTACGGAAGAGAAGTGACTTCTCACCTAAAGCAGCAGAGACCGAAGCCAAAGTCTTTGATGCTAATGAGTAAGATTGAATGAATTTGTTCCTCCTCTTCACCACTTGTGTTCATTTGTAGTCAGGACTGAATGACTTTTGGGCGAGTGACTTGCTGTCTCTCTCTTTGTGTGTTGGAGGTGGAGGTATCTCCACAGGAATATCTGACAGTTTGGCTGGTTCCCACAAGGAAAACAGCTTTTTTTTTTTTTTTTTTTTTTTTTTATAAAAACAAAAACAGCAGCTTTTATTTACCAAACTAAAAGAAGGCCAGAAGGTTTCCATTTGGTTATTGAGGTTTAATGTAGGGTTAGAATTAGGTATAGCGTATCATTAATTAATGATGATACTGCATTAATAATTACGTCAATAGAAGGTCCTCATAAGGATAGTATGAGAAACGTATATGTGTCTGTGTGTGTTTTCAGGGAGGCAACAGGTGTCGTGCTTCACAAGGACTCGAAATGGTACCAGCAGTGGAAGGACTTCAAGGACAACAATGTAGTTTTTAACAGTAAGTCTCTTCTTTGTCGTTGTCTTGGAGGAAACGTGGAAAGTCCAGCAAGTTGCTCGATTGTTTGTTCAGCAGATGGTGCTGTAGCCTCAGCCGAACCCGTCGTGCCTTGAGTATCAGATGTGGTGCTAGATGAAAGTTAGCTTTTGAGCAGAGTATTATATTTTTGCCAAGTTTAATGCCAAGTATGAGGCTGTTAACCACCGTCAGCATAACCTATATTATATCATCTTACACTTGCACTATTATAAACGATTTGTAAAGAGAGTTATGATCCATGAGAAGGGGTATTGGCCAAAAAGTATGAGGCTGTTAACAGAAGCCAATAGGCCACATTGTGCTGTGGGTTAGGCCTTTTTGTAAAGGAACATATCTGCAAGAATACAATTTACAGTTTACAATACAGTTTGTAGCTGGGAAGCTAATGTAGCTAAGAATTAAGGAAAGCTTAGCATCGTTTAGCATCATGCAAACTACATGCTTGAATCATCACATACTCGCCTCAGTCCGTGTTGAGTTGTTCAGTATGTCAAACAGACTTACCGACGTGGTTCCTGACACTGTATGATACAGTTATCTATAATAATTAACAAAATGTTGACAAAGAGCTAAATACAGTTATTGCTCACACTCAGTTAAGAGGCTTGGCCTAAAGTCCGAATTGTATATATATTTTTTTAAATGTTGACTGCTATTTTATGAAACTCTTTGGTTACGGTATTACTGAGCTAAATGTCTTTTAATTGTCACATTGGCTTGTTGATTCTTTAAACCTTTTATTGTTTGTCTGTCTGCAGGATTCTTCGAAATGAAGATGAAATATGATGAGAGTGACAATGCCTTAATCAGAGCGTCTCGTGCCATCACGGATAAGATGACAGATCTTATAGGTAAAGTGGATCAGCACCTCGGCTACCTGTATTTTACAGACATCTCATAGTAAGAGATTTGAACTGGAAATAGGTTTCGTCATTTATATTCATATAATTGAAACTGATGAAATGGGGACAAAGAGCATTCCTGATCAGTATTCCATCTCTAATACTGTTGAAAAAAACGTGGGCCTATGAGTGTGTGACTCTGGCTGAACACCTAATGATTTATTTGGCCTTTATGGCTCCTTTTATGGTTTATGGACGTGCGTCAGACCCAGATAGCAGTGAGTAACAAGCAGAGTTCTGATTATTTTTAGTAAAAAAGACTTGTATTAATACTTTAATGTGCATGTTTACAAGATACATGTTTTTCCTGATTTGGTAGATTTTTGAAAAAGCTTACTGTAGTTTTAATGATGTTATTTGTAAGTGGAATTCAGAGCACACTGACAGCACAAACTAGCCGATGTCCTTAAGTCTCTGTGAATTAGGCGTGGCCCAGTTTCCTGCCAGTCCCAGTGAAGGAGAGGTGTCCTCTGTGCCTGTCACTCCCAGTGAAGGAGACGTGGCCTCTGT